TTCATATATTTCGTTTACTGGTTTATATGTTCTTAATAAGAATTGTAATTGCCATAACTTGTTGTGATGTAGACAGAATTTATCTCATTTGGGAATATTTTTGACTCTACCTTTTCTTTTGAAGAGCAGAAGTGAGTATTGTTAATGAATTAATCCATTTCATGGTTTACTTAGAGTTTTGACATTTAAGCAGTATTTTTGACACATTTGGTTGGAGCAAAGGAAAGACCATGGACAATTCTGAGCTGTTTTTGCTCCTAAAAAACATACCAAGGAAGATGGTAAGGTTGCAGTTGCACGATTTACTGTCTGTGCAACTGTATAATCATAATGATTGAATTTGGAGGACCTCATAAGAACTTCAGATTTTAATGTCAGACTCCCTCTTAGTAGCAACATTAGCAGGGGTGTTACTCAGCTTAATAGTTTTAGGTTGGTGATGGCTGAGCGGTGAGAGTAGTTTCTGCCTGTGGTGAGATTCCCGCAGTGCAGTTTAAAGGACAAAAACATTCTGAGATGCTGAATCTCCTCCAGAATTTTATTGCTCAGGCATTTCTGCAAGTCTTTTTTTAGTATAAAAGCCTAATCTTTAGCAAAGTGGAAAAGTTAGCGGTTGCGATGAGATGGAGTTTTCTGCTGAGGATATGATGCTCTTAATAGAGCCCCCGAGCAGGATATTGCATATACTTTGTGCTTGGTTTGTGTTGCAAAGTTTGATGAAGTAGCCTCCTTCATTTACAGCAGACTGTATATTTTTTTTCCCAACAGGTACCTGTACATTTTAGAAAACTAAACAGATACTCTACTCCAAGCAGGAATTAAGGCAAACTTTGGATGTATCATACCTTTTGCAGTGCTAGCGCTTAGCCACACCTAGCTCTGAGTTGGAAATGCTTATAAAATCAGTTGATCTTGCTGTAAACACTTGTAGCCCACTTCTCTTGCGAGTTTGTGCCTGCAGAGGTTTGCCTCTCAATGTTTCTGTGTATGTGTGCATTATCAATATGGAATTAAATAGGTCTTAAGACCTATGTCACTCCACATGATCCACAACAAGCTGTTGATAATAAGCATCACTGTCGAGTGAGACGTAATGAACTTTTTTCCTCTCTGAGGGTTCCCTTTATTCAGCATAGTTGATTCCTCTCCTCACTAAGGTTGTGCGGGGAGGAGTGTACCTGTAATGCTGGTGACTCTGAGCCTTGGTAGGCAGTGGGGGAGGACTGGTTAGTCTTGCTCCACTGAGGTTTCATGTGTTATAAAGCCATCACTTACTAAAGGTCAGTGCACATGCACAATACTATGTCCATTTTTTAACATAAAAGGCAATTAAAACTTATTTCACCAAGGTGGTAACTTCTAGACAAACCGAGTATGACCCCTTGCTTAAATGGTGTCTCTGCGTGTACTTGTGGCACCTGCTAGATGGCTGGGCTATCACCTAATTTTATAGCCAGTATGCAGCATGGGGCTGCTACAAAGTAGTGTCATCGTGGGCTCTCAGCATTTGCTTCCCATGAATGGCTGTTGGGCATATCCTAATGTCATAGGGGGGTTAGATTTTTGTAGGCTGCGTGAAATTAGTATTGGAAGGTGGTGGATAATGTATGCTCAGTGTTTAGGAGGGCCAGTTCTTGGGTGGGCCTGGATAGGCTTCACCTGCTCAAGAGTGGGTTGCACCGCGCCTTGTTAATGCACGAGTATCCACTGCAGTACAGCAATACGTCCCTCAACCTCTAGCTCACTTTCCCCTCTGTACCTGGTCACCAGTGCAAAAGTAGGTAAGGAGTAACTGTTCCTTGTCATCACTGCCTCTTGGCCACCAGGTGAGGTGAATATTAAGTGCTTTCTTTGTTAAACACTGCTTTCTGTGCAAACTTGGTCTTAAAGTTTTATTAAATTAAAAAAAAAAACAAACTAAAACAACATTAAAAAACAAAAAATTAAATTAAAAAACAAAAAACTTTGAGCTTTTGTTGCTTTCTGAATATGCATCACATTTTTAGGACTTCCAGTTTTGAATTCATTCTCACCTAGGCCCTCATATATTTTTAGGGAAGTGCTGTGGTTCAGCTTCAGTAACTTGATTTGAAGAAATTGAATTGATGTTATGTTCGAGATATCTTGCAAGATTTAAACCTAACAAATTAAATAAATGTTATTTGTAATTGTAGAGGGCACAAAGCCACTGTGGGTGGAGCTAATGAGATCTTCAAACGCTTGCCCCAGGCTGATACTGAAGCTCACTTTGACGTCAGCAATCTGTAATTTTACATTTGACTGTTCGTTTAGCAAACTTGTGACTAGGACGTGTTACCATATTTCATAGAACATTGCAATTGGGAATTTAATTTTTTGGCAGGATTTTGCATGTTGTAGTATATGGTAGTATATTCCTTGAATTAACTGCCATGTCATTTTCTTTTCAGTAATGTTTATGGTGTTAGTGTTATTCAAGTGACAAACGCTTCGCAAGGAGGCTAATACAAGTAATTAACTGTTGTTTAAACATAAATTAATCAGCTGAGTTTCTAATGACTAGAGTTCGGCATTTGTATTTACTAGTAGTGAATAAAAAGCGTTTTATTTTGCATTATTAAAAGGGCTCTCCCTTATCTTCTTTAATAGTCTTAATTCTAATTGTTAAAGGGGTGTAGATAATGGCCTATGAGTATTTCATAGCAAAACTAAAACCTTATGAGTCCTCTGACCTAAATTCACTGTCACTGATGTGTTAGCAATGCAGCTTGTGCCAGTGGTAGTTTTCCTCAAGTGTACGGCCGCTGGAGTTCTTGTGTAGGAATAACTACAGCGGCGCGGGGCAGCGAACATGTACTGAGGCTCTGGTAGTTTTGTATCATTCAGCACTGGAGGATGAGGCAAATGGGGAGGGAAAACTTAGTAGAGTTCTTATGGTCATCAACCTGTAAGGGTTGCAGCATGTGATAGAAGTACCTTGTTTTATCATTCTCAACGTTGTTATTAATGAAACCATTGCAGCGTTCAGACTGAAGCGCAGAGATTCAGCCATTATAAGCCTCTGTTTTTTTTTCAGTACTTAATTTTATAGCAGCATTGCCCTCTAGAGGGCACTTTCGATCATTTTAGTAGGGTTTTTTTGTTTTGTTTTGTATTAACTGAATTTCCATTAATTTGTACACAGCATTTCTATCTTGTACTCAAAAACCTGCAGTTACTGGAAGGCGCTCGTCCCTGCCTGTTGGGAAGCTAGGTGCGGGCCAGGCCTGAGGGGAGCGTTTGCCTCCGCTCGCTGTGAGCACAGGGCAGTATTATCAGTTTTCAACAATTTGTTTCTGAAATTGCTAGGGAGGAGGTCAGATGAATGCCTTGCCTGTTCAGAGTGCTTCTGCCTTAAGCAGCTCACAACGCAATATTGCGGCATCTGACATGGAAAGTGCAGCACAGGAGAGAAATACAGTAACTTGCAGCTTAGGCTTATTTTGAAGCAGAAAACAAAGCCTAGATAAATACCACATAGGTTTAGAAAGCAACCCTTTGATTTCCAGTGTCCAATAAAAGCTTAATATTTTATTTCTTTTCATGTAAGAAAGCCTCTGTTATGAAATTAGCCTCTTACCAAAATTGCTACCCACTTGCTACTGTAAATGTTCTGTGTCTAGCGGAGAAGCAGCAGGAAAGAGGTAGTGGGAATATTTGGATTGTTGTTGGATTTATTTATTTATTTATTTAGTTGGATTGTTGTTGGATTTTTTTTTTTTTAACCCTGCTGCAACTTGTGTATTTTCACGTTCTCTTTACCTTGTTTCTAAAAGCCAATTGCTCAGACTTGTTTAAAGGCTCAAGTGAGCGACACGTTGTGGAGTCAACCAGCTCAGCTGAAGTGCCGGCTTTGGCCTTTTTTCTTAATCATGCTGCTCGCACAAGAATACCTATAGAGCTGCTAAAACTGTTCGTTGGTGATTCCTTGACTAAGAATAAAACTAGCTGGTAGAAGTAGTTTGTACAGTAAGAATACTGAAGTCTGCGTATAACATTGTGTGCTTGTGAAAGGCAGAATTCTGACTGACCTCCACCCTGTCTTGAGCACATCAGATTTTGGAAATAATCAGAACTGGCTTGCATTGTCAGAGGGAGTCACTGTCTGAACACATTCCTCAGCCCTTCGCCAGGGAGCTTTGCTGCGCTGATTAGTACTTGTTTACATTTTTGCTGTGCCTCAAATATAGGCTAGATTTGACTACAGGTAAACAGCGTTAACACATGACTAAGAAGAGGAGTACTGTCTTTTAGAATGTTATTTTTTGCCACTTTTCAGATATTGTTAGTAGGTGGAAGGAGTAATTTGTAATATAAAGGTCTAAATACAGCTCATGCTGTACTATACCTATAGTCTTCAAAGACACCATTTGGGTAAAGCCAAGACTACCACCAGGTATAGTGCCGCAGATAAGTTTGTGTTGAATTGAGTGTGTCTTTATGCCATTAGCCATGTGGCCATGTGGCCTCTGTGTACCATAGCATCTTATGCAGTCTCTTTTGGGAACGCTTTTTTCTTTGCTTAAACTCTGCCCCTAAATTTGAGGGATGCAGGAGAGCGTTAGCTGATCTCTAGTGAATGTGGCGGCTGAACTTAAATGAACCTTGCTGCTCTTGGTTTGAGGAGACAGGTCTGCAAAAAGTAGGCTTTTTTTTTCCCCTATCAAAAGGAATTATGATACAGTGACCCAAGAAACGGGACAGAGCTGTGACTGAAGAGATCCCCTTCAACCCCTTGGTTCTTGAAGGAGAAATGCTAAGGGAGAGGGAGGATTAGGAATGTTTAAGCCTCTCCAGGCTGCTCAGTCCAGACTGGCTATTGCTGTTCTGGATTGTGCCCTTGCAGCACAAGTGAGTGTTTACAGGTGTACTGGGTTTGTTCTGTCTAGTTTGTTCTGATCTGAATTTGCCTCAGTCCAGGAGGTCTGGGAATACTCATTTAAAGAAAATTTAACAGTTTCTCTCTCTTCCTTGTAGATGGAATGAATCTTCCTTGTTGAATGCCTCCCAGTTTCCTAGTGGATTTCACATCTGGAGAAACACTTTTCCTTCAAGTCACTCTGTGGCAGACTGAATTGTGGATCCAGGATTCCTAGGACTTTGGATCTTGAGGAGGCGGCCGCTGCTGAACTGCGCTAACCCAACTTCGCAGCCACAATGGTGCTGTCACAAAGGCAACGAGATGAGCTGTAAGGAATGGCCTCTTTGTTTTTGTCTCGTCCTCATTAGTAAATTAGATTTTACAGAGTAATCATGTTCACATCCTACTCAAGTACTGTGCATAATGGTTTTGATTTCTGAACTGTTGTTTTTGATATAAACTCTGGAGTTAATGGAAGTGTGAAATGGTGGACCTAGAAGACTAGAGGAGAAAGGATTAGCACTGCACTTCAGTATTCTGTTCATTGCAAATAGCTATGTAGGTAGGAATGAACCAACATTTAGTCTACAAAACTTCTGTTTCTATATGGACTGGAAAGAAGAGATGGTTTGGTTTTATGCAAAGTGAATATCACACAGATCTTTAACATGCTTGCTGTTCATGATCCATGTTCATGTAATAATGAAAATAAGCTTAAAACTGTTGTATGAAACAAAAGTACAGCAAAGAATAGAAGAAAACCATGTAGTCTTAATTGTTTCAAATCAAGTGTTAAGGTATAAGAAAGCTGCCTTTCGAAGTTAGAAACTGTGTCCAAGATGGGTCATGTTCCTCTATGTTGTTTCAGTTTCAGTCACCAAAAGTTCCGAAGGGGTTAAAGTAAGCAGGAATATTTAATCCAAACTGATTAATGGATACTTTCTTTTGCGTAAATTATAACAATTTTGTTATCAGAAGTATGTGATCAGGATGTGCTGCATTGCAGTTTATTATTTTAGTTTGGTGTGTCTTAAGACACAGAATACTTGCATTTAAGTGCTGTGCAAGTTTTCTTTAAATTTTAAATTGTACAGCATAGAGAGTACCATGTCCAGGGTTTAAACATACTAAAGATTATGCCTTTTTGGCAACTCCCTAAAGTTGTTCTTGGCAAAAGCTTTAAAGAGTAAATAGGTTAATGGAGAGGTGGAAATAATGAGCTGTTATGACTGGAAGTAGGAAGTGAACAGTGACTTGGGATTTACTTAGAAGACTGAGAAGAGGCAGTGCTTTGTTTTAGCAAATAGTGTTTATGAAGAGGAAATTTCTACTCGCATACAGTGACATGTTTAGAATTGAGTGTGCGAGAGAGATTGGGTATGTGTAATATTTAGGAAGGAGGCATTAAGAGGAAAGACCAATTTCTCCCGAATAAGAAATTCTCAAGATATGGGGAAACCTGAATCAGGAGGCAGCTATAAGGAAGGTCAGCCACATATCTGAGATCTTCCAACTGCTTGTGTGGAAATACAGCAACCGTGAAATCATGCAACATCTGTCATGCTAAAGAATGGACTGGTTCCACTTTATATAAGGTGGTAGCTCTAAAGTACTCCTACCGTGAAGGCTGTTTTCTTGAAGAATGTCCGAAAGTGATGCTTTCTTAGTGGATATACTTGTTTTATTTGTGCCTCTGTAGTTGTAGGTATTTTGTATTTGTATACTTGCTTTTCCATATTGGTGCTGCAGCAGGTTTGTGCTGCATATTCAGCTGTTTTGAGGAAAGGGGCTCAATGAGAAGCCGGCGCGTGGACCCCAAGGCGAGGTGCTCGGGGAGCGCGCGCCGAGGGATGCGCGCGCCGGAGCCGCGGGGAACTCGCGGGACGTGGAGCGGCTCCTGCCGCCAGCCCGAAACCGCTTGCTCTGGATCCAGAAGCAGCGCAACTCTGTGAATGAAGTATGTTTCAGCTTGGAGCTAGCAGGAACCTTTTTATCCCTGCAAAGGTGCTGCTGTGCTTGTTTTCACTTGGGCTAAGATATTAATTTTGTCTTGAATGCCGTGTATAAATGACTTTCTGACTTACTTTTATTCAGAACTGTGGCTAAAGATACTGAGTTTTGTTTTATTTTTAGAAATCGAGCGATAGCAGATTACCTTCGTTCTAACGGCTATGAAGAGGCATATTCAGTTTTTAAAAAGGAAGCTGAATTGGATGTGGTGAGTCAAAACCAAAATTGTCCATCTATATGTGAAATAAGGAATTTAGCATTTGATGACACTTGCTTTCATTCTGAACATATCCTTACAAAGTTACCCATTCAGTCATACACAGTGAGATCTGGAGATGATGAGCTCATGCAGTTTATTTTCTTAGCATAAAGTTCAGGAATAATCATTGATTGACTTGAAGATTTATGAGCAAAACTCTTTAGTTTCTAGTCATCATCTAGGTATATTTTTTACCTTAATTTTTCCTGTCTGACTGCCACTCACCTACACAATGAGTGTTTCTTTTAGTGGCATTTTAAGGATCTAAATCGTGGAGGGCTAGATTCTCCAAAATGCAGGGTGCTGGAAAACAAAGCTAGCGGTTAATTGTTAGCAAAAGATAACACACATGTTCACAGGAGTGTGTTTAATTGCAGAGCGTGGGATTTCTGTTTCCTGCTGCCGGGTCTGTGTCTCCTGCTCTCCCCGCTGTCCCTTCACTCCTTTGTCAATTGCTAACTGTGCTTATTCTTAATATGGAAGTTCACATAAAAGCAAACACTCTCTGCTATACAAAGGCAGAAAACTGAAGACTTCTTTTGTAACTTGATTTGAAATGATGCAAGACTATGCAGCTTTGGACTTCTTACTTCTCATGTTAATGTTTAAGAAACATGAAGACAAAATAGCATTGTGCTTGTCTTTTCCTTTATAATACAGCAAACTGCAGGAGCCATCATTTATTGCAACTTCATTGCAGTGATTTACTTTTGTAATAGTTGATTCTTACTTGTTTCTTAAACTTGTCATTTACTAGTGTTAGAGGTGAGCATTTCCTTAAATTTAAGTTTCCTTGGAGAGTTCTGGATTTAGCAGTAATCTTCTGTGTGCTGGCTTTTGATAAATCCTTGCCTATTCGCTAATAAAGTCTTGGATTGTTCTTTTTCCAAAATGCTTGATTGAGGTATGTCTTAATTTCTTCCTTCTCCTTCTAGTATATAAGTAGAACTGATAAATTGGAATACCATACTTATAATTGAAAATCCTAATACTATTCCTTTATCAGCCTTATGCATCAAGCTAATTAAGTCTTATCAGAGTTTAAAGAGGTGATCTAAATAGGCTAGATAGTCCTGAGGGAAATAAGAAAATGCAGTTTTTAAAAGTTCCATGGGACTTGCTCACAAGAAAATATGAGAAATGCCTCCCTTCATGTTTCTGAGACAGAAATGAAATGACTTCAGTAAACCTGAAGGATTTCAGTATAGCTCTGTAAAGAGGAATTCTGCTTTTTTTCTATTGATTATTCCTACAGATAAGATTTTACAAATGCTCCTGAAGCAGTTATGAAAATTTATTAAGATGAGCTGTTCATATTGCTTTTAAGAAACTGATAAATAACAGAACTGATACTTATTCATTTCAATGCTCGCCCTCCTCCAGAATGAAGAGTTAGATAAGAAGTATGCTGGACTTCTGGAGAAAAAATGGACGTCGGTTATAAGATTACAAAAGAAGGTAAGTGGAGAGATCCAATGGATTTATTTATACAAAACATTCATCACTGAATAGAATATTGCTTCTTTTATTGTCAGACAAATGCAGAATTTGGTGAACGATGCCCCAAAGATAAATTTCACTGTCTTGAGTAGGAGAAAATAGCACAATCCTTGCTTTAGAAACTGTTCCATCTGCCTCAGTACTAGCAAAGACATAACTTCCTCCCAGCTTTTTTTATAAACATTTCTTGATTTGATGTTCTGAACTGTTTGTGCAATTTATGAAGCTGGGAAGAGGTGCCCTAGGGCAGTTTCTGAATAGGAAGGTTGAATTGTCTCCAGAAGGCTTAGCTGGTTTAGAAAAAGGTAAAAACCTTTTCTGCTAGTGTCTTTGGCCATTACTTTAAAGGGAATAAACCATTAACTGTAGTGCCCTAGAGCAAGTGACTGTACTGTAAATGGACAATACAAAACTCTGATTAAAATGCTTCAATAGGTCTGCAGTGCATTAATAGCACTAAAAAGAATCACAGCATGCTAACATATCTCGGATTTTATTATGCCCTTAGTCTATCTACTGTTGGTTAACATGCATGCTTTCTCCGGGATACACAAATTGATTGCAGTAATAGGATTTCTTTTGTTAGCAAGACCTCTCAATAGTTTGTCAAAATTTCTAACAAACTTTTGGACTGATTACTCAAACATCTGTGTGCACTTTGGGGAGTTGGAGGAGAATAAATTCTATGATTAATTTAGCTTTAATTTTTAGAAATAACAGTGCTACCGAATCTCAGTAACTGGTTTGCATCTTTGCAGTCTCTGCTCTGCTGTGGTTTTGGGGAGCCTGTTGGTATTTAGACTGTTAATGACTGAAGGTGAGTTGGACCTTGTTTTAAGACTGAAAAATAAACAATCTCTTTGAAAAATCATAAACTTAGGTTATGGAATTAGAATCGAAGCTGAATGAAGCTAAGGAAGAATTTACATCAGGTGGACCTCTCGGTCAGAAACGAGACCCTAAAGAGTGGATTCCCCGCCCTCCAGAGAAGTACGCGTTGAGCGGACATAGGAGTCCTGTCACTCGAGTAATTTTCCATCCAGTTTTCAGTGTTATGGTCTCTGCTTCAGAGGATGCCACAATAAAGGTATGTGCTTGCCAAAGAAAATTGCACATCCTCTTACTTCAATATGTAACATCAGCATTTGAAACTAGACATGCTCACTATTGATAACAGGTTGCTCCAGCTTAAAAGTGTGATTCCCTGTGCCATAGACAAATTTTAATTTTGTGTTGGTCCCATTAATAGCTTCAAGGTACTTTTACTATCTTTTAGCTGGAGAAAAATACTTGAGGTAATCTGCAGTAATGACTAGAAAAGTGTGTGTGCAAATGTGCATGTGTTAGAGGTTACAGAGGAGCCTAATTAGCGTTGTTTATTCTTTGCTGCCTCTTATGGAAACACAGGATAAATTGCCTTATTCTCGAGCTTGAGCTTTGTACCCCCCATTTCTCACTCTGGCGTCCCCAGTAGTGTCAGCTTTGTTTTGCCAGTGAAATCTATTGAGGGATCAATTTCTTTTTTTCTTCTTTTTCCATCTTTAAAATGAAATGTCTGATTTTGTGTGATACCCCCACTAAATCTGTAGGAACATGCTGTTTCAAAAGCTTTTGTCTGTGGTTAAATGATAGGAGACTGACTTAATTAGGAGGTGAGAATGGGGACTTCACGCCTTCTTGTAGTTTTTAATGACAAATGTTTGTTTAATCTCCAACAAAATCTGTAATCTAGCTAATGTCTGCATGTCAGATACTAACTTTTAGAATTGATTTGGTTTATCATTTCTAAACTAGCATGTTCTGAATATTTGCAGTAGGTAGAATATTTGCTGTTTGGTTCTAGGGCAGAAAAAAATTCTGGAGCCACAGTAAAGCTTGTGAGGGGGAAGGAAGGGAGTTACTCACAAATATTTTCATTGCTGAAACCTAGCTGCATTGTGGGAATTGGTGAGCTGGTATAGAAAGGGATGTATAGAAACAAGCTGCACAAAGTGGTTTTCATTCTATCCAGTGGTTTCTGAATTGGTATCCTTTATTTGTAAGGGTTTGGGGTGTTAAAACCTGAAAAATATAATAAAACTTACTTTTCCTGCTATATTTATAATGTTTTAAGTTAGCTGAAACAGGAGTTTAAGATATACAAATTCAATTAATGTGTAAGTAACAATTGTATAAAATATAGTGCTTATTTTTCTATGTTGTAAAGCTTTTCTAGGGCAGTCTTTCTTTGTCTCTTACTCAATTATTGAATAAGGTGCCAGACTAGCCTGCAGAGTGCAAATGTAAGACTGAAGAAAACAACAAGTAGTATGCTGCTATTAACAGAATTTGTTTGCTTGTCAGGTGTGGGATTATGAGACAGGAGACTTTGAACGAACCCTTAAGGGGCATACAGACTCTGTGCAAGATATTTCCTTTGACCACACTGGCAAACTGTTGGCCTCCTGTTCTGCTGATATGACCATTAAGCTATGGGATTTCCAGGGCTTTGAGTGCATCAGAACTATGCATGGTAAGGTATAAAGGGGGTTGATTTAGCAGTTTGTTAAATGAAGAGGGTTTTGTGTTTTGTTTTTTATTGTTGTTCCTTCATTTGTTTGTTTGTTGCAGGGAAACTGCTGGTGTGGAAAGGTGATATAAACCAGAGTATTACCCTAAAGGAAAGGGGAATATCTTCATGCTTTTAGTACTCTGAAAGTATATACTTAGTGCCTGTAGAGGGAAATAGCATCTCAGATTTGTTATACCTGATACTCTGTGTAGTACTCCATAATGATCTGGAAGTGAAATGGCAGTTAGATGGGTTTAGCACTAAAAATTAAATGCTCAAACAAGTTAAATTACCTTCTTCCACACCACTCTAATGTACTTGCCAAGGAGGAAGCAATACATGTTCAGCCTTCTGCTTCATGTTTGTCTGACATCAAATGAACAAGCCCTTTGCATTAGACTCAAAAGAGGTAGGAAAAATGGGAGAGAAAGTAAAACTACTGCAACTACCACCAATACTGCCCCCCACCCCCCCAGAAAAGCAGAAACAAACTTATTCATTTATAGAATAATTTTCCAGAAGAGTTGATTCTAATGCTTGCCACTTGGAAAATGAAGTTTTAATTATTTGCAAGTTATATAATTTTGGAAATGAATTTTCTTTAAAGAATGTGCTTTAATTCCCTGAACTGCTGGTAATAGCTGTATCTTCTAAACTATGCCGGCTTTTGTAACTGTAAAAATGTCACTTGCGTAATGGCAAGTAGCTGATTTTACAACAGCTTCAGAAGAAATTTTTGACTGATCCCAGATGATGGTCAGTGACTGGAGCCATGTGTTTCTAAAAATGTAGATGATTCTTTCAGAAATCTTCAAGTTTACATGTAATGATTATCCTATAGAATATGCATTACAGGCTACTGCTATAGATAGTTGTCTAGAAAAAATAAATAGTATGTCCTGTTTTTTGTGTAAAACAGTATTAGAGTACAGCTTACTAAAAATCTGATTTTGTTTTTAGGTCATGATCATAATGTTTCTTCAGTAGCCATCATGCCCAATGGAGATCATATAGTTTCTGCTTCAAGGGATAAAACTATCAAAATGTGGGAAGTTCAAACAGGGTAAGTGCGGTCCAAGTTAAACAACACCATCTAAAGAAAACAAACATAACCCACTTCTTAATAGGGAGTGGAATGACATAAAACAAAAATGTCTTGCTGACATTCAAGAATTGAGATGCAATATCATGTCCTTCGCAATCAACAGCTGAAGGATTCTGCTTTAAATCATTAAGCTTAGGCCCTTGATAGCCACTAATTAGAAGTACCTGGCTTTATCTTTATGGGAGCTACAAAGGTATAGCACATGACTGAAGACTGGGTATGAGTGTAAATGCCATGATTAACCACAAGTTTAAGGGGACATGAAAGGAGGGAAGAGATGTTACCTTTCTTGGTATAAATCAAGGTGCTGCCTCTGCTTTTTGCCTTATTGTTTGTTTCATTCTTCAGTAGTATCTTTGATCCATTTGTTTGTTTAGAGTTGTTGTTAAATACCAAATTGTTTGTAAATTCCGACTTGTTCTTAAATACCTACTTAATGCAAACTGTCTTTTTCACCCTGCTGCCCACATACTGTTTTATATCTTATCAAGGGTTTACTTGTTTTTAACTTCCTCATTTTTCCTTATCCTATGAGTTCCCTATCCATGAATTCGTGGCTTTATGGTCTTGTACATCAGCCAGAATCAATATATCCTTTCGAAAATAGCCTGTCTTTATGTCTGAGAAGAGAGCCCAGTGTCCTTACATTTCAAAGGCACATATGTAGTAGTTTAACTGCAGTGTTGATTGGGTCATGCTGTATTTCTCCTTTTAAATAGTTATTGTGTGAAGACTTTTACGGGACACAGAGAATGGGTGCGCATGGTGCGGCCTAACCAGGATGGCACCTTAATTGCCAGCTGTTCTAATGACCAGACAGTGCGTGTTTGGGTGGTAGCGACAAAGGAATGCAAAGCTGAGCTCCGAGAGCATGAGCACGTGGTAGAGTGCATTTCTTGGGCTCCCGAGAGCTCATACTCCACCATATCAGAAGCTACGGGATCAGAGGTAAGGTTTCCGGTGCTTATAACTCTGTACACACCAGTCACATTTAGCCTGCGCTGTAAACATAGCTTACTGGATAGTGCTGAAATTAGTAAGCTCTGCTTTCAAAGTACTTGGCAGACGGTAGAGCAGGTGTGTGGTCCTCTCCTGAGTACTCTTAACCCCGTGTCTTGGCTTTATGGGATCCGTGCTTTCCTGGTTTAGCGGGGGGAGCTTGCTTTGACTGGTGGAAGTGAAGTTTAGAGGGATGCCCTGTGTCTGAGGAGGGGAAGCATGAGCTCACTTTCACATATTTCCTCAAAGAAGGATGGGGGTAGTTTATTTGACATAACTTGAAGATTATGGTAAGGGTGCACAGCAGATGAAGGTTGGGGTTAGTAGTGAGACAGAAATGCAGACATGAGAGACTGTGGGTGTTATACAGAATGTTATTGTGATTGAATTAAGCTTTGACCACACATTTCTTCTGTACCAAGTTAATGACAAGAGAATGCATTCTCTAAAATCCCTGTTTGTATGATCATGTGTACAATATTTTCTGGTTCTGTTACTAGATCTTTAAGGAAGGCTTATAAGGGTCAGCAAAAAATTCCTTTCATGGATGACGAAGGGAGCAGAAAAAAGGACAAGACAAAAGTACATAGAAAAAAAAATCAATTTAAAAACATTTTAAAAAGGCATTTCTTCCACCCCTTTACTGCCTCCCCACCTCTGTCCAAAACCTAAGCTTCAAAGCAAATAAACTCTTTGAGTTTGAAGTCCCAGCCAGGCCTTAGAATTGAATTCATATAGGCAGTGGTCATTTTTACCCAATTAACTATGCTAATATTGCTTTGTCATTATATGTTTTATGCTGAAAGTATTTTCAAAGACCTGTCTCAGATTTAAGAAGAAAAAGCTTTATGGAAACCTGCTATAAGTGAATGTGAACTAAAGAGGAAAAGTAGATTCATTGAAGACAATCTGTAACTTGCCAAGTGGTAGATTTTACAGGTTATTTAGGCAAGCAAAACTTGACTGAAAAAATCCTTCCAACCTTTTAATTAAAAATAATGAAATTCCAAATCTTCGCTTCCTCTTGCAGTGCTAATTATCGGGAGTGGTGTCTCCCCTGCCCTCTGCTGGTCTGATCACCTCCACACATCACACTGCAGTATTTAGCGTTGAGCCTGGAGCAAGTTACACTAGCTCCCTAACTGAAACATTTCAAGTTCTGTGAATTAAATCTTTAATTCATACTTTTTTTTTTTATGATTACAAGCAGAAATAGGTTTAGAGTAGGGAGTTTTCAAAAATTCTTAATTTTTGTGAAGAATGAACATGCAAAAGTTCTGAGTTCATGTTCTTTGTTCTGAGTTGTCTGAATCTACCTGAACTGTACCTCCCATGTTTTAAGAAGAATAAACAAACAAAGCACATTAAAAAACTGTCTTGCAATAGACAAGTTTGGTTTCAAAGTCAGGTTTGGCTTGGTCCTGCTAGCAGGAAATGGAGCCACTCTTTGAATTAATTGTTTAACTCTCTTCATTGTTTGCCTTTTTCTTCTAGTGTTGATAACGATCTTTGAATCTTCACTTGGGCATTATGTTTTTATTAGCTATGGTATTATGCGGCCTAATTTTCTTACTAATAAATCTGCGCTTTTTTTTTCAACCTAATTTTCTTACTAATAAATCTGTCCTTTTTTTTTCTCTCTCTCTTCTTTTAATGGTAAATGCCATAATTTAAATCCTGTTTTTCTGTAGACTAAGAAGAGCGGCAAGCCTGGGCCTTTTCTGTTGTCTGGATCCAGAGACAAGACCATTAAGATGTGGGACATTAGCACTGGCATGTGCCTTATGACCCTTGTAAGTGTATTGGGCCTTTTTGGTGGCTGTACTGCATATGCAACACCAGCAAAAGGAATGAGCTCTCTTATGTGTTCTTTGCATTTTGAAGAGCTGCCAGTCTCAAATACTACAAATACTATAAGCAGGCAGTTCTGATGGTTTCCGTGTTTCAGCTTTCGTCGTTGCTAAGAAATGCTCCGTAATCTCTATGTGTATATGATAGATGCTGGCATACTATGGTGTGGTTAGGGGATGAATAACTTGTTTTGTTTGGAACCTAGATGGTCCTAACATTCAGATTTCTGCCTTAAAAGCTGTCCTGTGCATGCAGTGTGCTGGTGTTGTCGTTGGGCTGTGGTGTTCCCACCTGGATTCAGGCTGGAGAAATGCTGCTGGGGGGGAGCAGAACGTGGTGCACAGCCCAGGGGGACGCCTGTTTGCTTGCCTTCAAGGACAGGAACTTGCACTATTGCTAGCACAGTTAGAATGTAATAATAGAAAGTGAAGATAAACTTTGGAATTTAATAGGGTTTAGAAAGCTAAATATTATTGTTGCAGAAAGGAGAATGTTGTTACTCAGTCTGCCCTAGTATAAATGTAGAGGATCTAATCCTTAAAACATGCTTCCCTTCACCGATTTTCCCTTTGTATATAAGGTGGGCCATGATAACTGGGTACGTGGCGTTCTGTTCCATTCTGGGGGAAAGTTTATTTTGAGCTGTGCTGATGACAAGACCCTACGTGTGTGGGACTTCAAGAACAAGCGGTGCATGAAAACCCTCAATGCGCACGAACACTTTGTTACCTCTTTGGGTACGTATTGCTCTGCAGTGCTCACTGCAAAACAGAACTAGGGGTGCGTTTCCTTTCCACATCTTCACCAACTCAGGCTGAGCACCAGGCTAGATACTTGCATTTGGGAACCTGTTAAGTTTCTGTGCTATCTGTATTTTATTCAAATAAGGATAGGGTCGAATCTCACGTGCTTTGACTTTGTTGCCAGTGTTGTACAGAGGATAAAGAAATTAACTGCAGGAGTGGTCT